AGGTGAATTCACAACTTTCCGGCTAATGTCCACCATTCTGCCTCTCAACCAATCAATGAGTAGTTTTCGCTGCATCTTCGCCGCTTATATTCTTCATTTGCTTTCACGAATTCTTCTCTTGAAAAATTTTATCCAGTAACCGTTCACTATTCCAACAGCGTCATTAATTCTGCAATATGTTGAAACACAACGATTTCTCATATCTTATTGACCCTTAATTGCTTTACATTAAACCACGTGATCTTGACCCACACTAAACATGGATACTGAATATCCCCTTCATGCAAGCTCTACAGTTCCGATGTTGCACACCTCGCGCACACACAGCGTGCACCCAAACACAGCATTGCGTGCACCACACCCACTGTGTTGCTCTGGCACCTAGTTCTTCTGGATCATGTCTTTTGGGAGAGCGGGGTCTTCCTCGAAACAAATCCAGCAGAATGAATTTGCTGGGATCAACTCTTATATCCTCCACGGACTGCGTCTTCTTCCTCATTTCTTATGGATTAGAGCTCACTGTATGTTATCGTAACTGAAAAGGGGTACTCCAAGCAATCATCAATATCCAACGAAAACACGAAAGTGAAATGCGATGAGGTAGCTCGCATCCAGCAAAGGCCCAAACCGGTCGCTGATAAAACTTTATAGTATGAAACGAAACTCACTGTAAATCAGAGTGAGACTAGTAATCCTACTTACACAAACTGCAGCACGGTGTACCTATTCACCGCGACATTAAGAAGTTATAACCAGCTATTGAAAGATTGCATTAAAGTTGGAACACTAGCACACTCAAATTCTTCTAGAATTGAATAACCAATGAAGTAGATTGCAAACTCGAAGCATCTGCAGCACGTGACATTAGAAATGAAATTTTACTGTCGAACTATTCCATATTGTAAAATTAATGACGCTGTTGGAATAGCGAACGGTTACTGGATAAAATTTTTTAAGAGAAGAGTTCGTGAAAGCAAATGAAGAATGTAAGCGGCGCAGCGAAAACTACTCACTGATTGGTTGAGAGGCAGAATGGTGGACATTAGCTGGAAAGTTGTGAATTCATCTCCAAAGCAGCATAAAAATGAAAAGGGGTAGAATCATATAAGTCCTCCCACAATTCAGCCCTATGCTGCCGCATAAATGCGTGACTAGGAGAGAATTCAAGCAAAAAAGAAACTTTAAGACAGCTATATGAAAGCAATACACAGAATAAATTTCAAAAGGCGCAAGAACAATAAAAAAACAAAAGTTAGAAACGAAAAAGCAATAAATATAGATTGAATCTCACCACAAGTGTCCCCCAAATCCACTGCTGCGGTGAATAGCAATAACAGAATTAAAATTACAAGCAGCGTGAAATACAAAGCCACTGCAAAGTAGAGTCAGAATTGTCAAATACGGAATACGAGTTACAAAAGCCAGAGTTTGAATGGATAACAAGTAGAATGTAGTATCAGCACNNNCTGCTGCGGTGAATAGCAATAACAGAATTAAAATTACAAGCAGCGTGAAATACAAAGCCACTGCAAAGTAGAGTCAGAATTGTCAAATACGGAATACGAGTTACAAAAGCCAGAGTTTGAATGGATAACAAGTAGAATGTAGTATCAGCACGATAAAAACACACAAATGGAATGCAAACAGTGCTTGAGCCTCGATTAGCGCGGGGTATCCAGCAAAACGGCATCAGAATAGTGTTCAGCAGAGAATCTTGTAGAATATAAGTCACCAGATTAGAATAATAGTAGAATAGCGTAGGGAATAGAAAAACAAGAGGGAAGATTGCATTGATCGGCGTTGGGAGGTAGCTGCCATTGGTCCCGCAACGAATTGCCTGATTTTAAGCTAGACAGTTGTCGCAAAAAGTTGACAAATGTCGCGCGCAACTCGTCCGCCAATTTTTCGGGGTGTAGATTTTGCTGCGAGTTTTCTTTTCTTTCTTTCTTTTATGAAATGTTAATGACAGCATTCTTGAACACTTCTCTCAAGTTTGTTGAAGTTTGTAAGATATTTTGAGTGAAACATTGCAAGTAAAAATTTTTTATTCCAGGAACCTTATGAATAACAATGTATTATAAATGCCGTATTAATGCTATCCCTTTTTATATTGCATTTTCTTCGAACTGAGTCATTGATGTGTTCTTGTTAAATGCTAAGAACACTCTTTGACTTTGGTTTGAAGAATTATATGCAATCAGAACCCAAAATTTCCATACAATCCCTCGGGAATGGCAGTGTGGTGAGTTAAATTTGTAAAGTTTCATATATTACCCTTTTTCTTTTAAAGTAGTTCAGCACTATATTCGTAGATATTGTAATGTTTAATGCAACTATCGTAACGTTCATATGTTTTGCACGCATATATAGCTGTTTATGTTAATTTAGCAGATGAAATTCGAGAAAAGTAAGAGTGGCGAGTAATTTTTCACTGTTTAGTCTATTGTTTATTTCTTTTTCACTTCAACATAACAATTAATACGTAAAAGCAGTATTTTATATTGTCAATAACAATGTTTAAACTTGTTTTGAACCATTTTATTTCGTTACAGATAAATACTGCATGTGGAACCAGCGCTTATCGCTGGAATTCAGGTGGGGTGAGTTTCTTCTTCGATTGCTTACTCAATTTATTCTTCTTTTCCTTTAATTCATTGTGTTTACTACGTTTATACGTTTATGTTGTATGTTAGGATCCTTGTATTATATTGATTACATGTGTTTTGTTTGATTACACATCAATAGTGCATGTATGATCCCCTCTTTTCATTGAAATTCATGCGCGGTGAGTTTATTTCGAACAATATCCTTATTTAAACTTCTTTTTCACCTATTAATTGTAATTAATATGTTACATTAATACATTATGAATGAATGTAGAGAAGGTTGTGGGAATGACATTTTTCTTGTTTTATTTAATTTTTTTCTTGTTTTGCAGCTAAATATTGCATGTGGAATGTGCGTATTTCGTTGAAATACAGGCGCGGTAAGCTCCTTTTGAGTGTTATCTATATACTTTCGTCTTACAACGATAACGAACAAGCAAAAGACGAAGAAAGTTATAGTTAACACTCAAAAGGAACTTACCGCGGCTGTATTTCATCGAGATACGCAGATTCCACATGCAATATTTAGCTGCAATTGAATAAAACAAAAAAGGTCATTCCCACAACCTTCTCAACATTCATTCATAATGTATACACACATTAATTACAATTAATAAGTGAAAAAGAAGTTTAAATAAGGCTATTATTTGAAATCAACTCACCGCGCATGAATTCCAATGAAAAGAGGGGATCATACATGCACTACTGATGTGTAATTAAACAAAACAGATGTAATCAAAATAATACAGGGCTCCTAACATACAACATAAACGTATAAACGTAGTAAACACAATGAATTAAAGAAAAAGAAGAATAAATTGAGTAAGCAATTGAAGAAGAAACTCACCCCACCTGAATTTCAGCGATAAGCGCTGGTTCCTTATGCAATATTTATCTGTAATGAAATAAAATGGTTAAAAACAAGGTTAAACATTGTATTTGACAATATACAATACTGCTTTTACGTATTAATTGTTATGTTGAAGTGAAAAAGAAATAAACAATAGAGTGAAAAATTACTCACCACTCTTACTTTTCTCGAATTTCACCTGCTAAATTAACGTAAACAGCTATATATGGGTGCGAAACATATAAACATTATGATAGTTACGTTAAAAATTACAACACCTACGTGTATATTGCTGAAATTGTTCTAAAGAAAAAGAGTAACATATGAAATTTTACAAATTTAACTCGCCACACCGTCATTCCCGAGGGATTGCATGCGAATTTTGGGTTCTGATTGCATATAATTCTTCAAACCAAAGTCAAAGAGTGTTCTTAGCATTGAACAAGAACACATCAATGACTCAGTTCGAAGAAAATGCAATATAAAAAGGGTAACAGTATGAAATACTGATTACACATTGACATGCATGGGTTTTCCTGGAACAAAAAAAAAATATTTGCATGCAATATTTCACTCAAAACATCTCGCAATCTTTAATCAGCCTTTGATGAATGTTTTTGAATTCTGTCACAAAAGGTCCATCAAAGGTAAATTGAAGATTGCGCGAATAAAAATAATAAATATTCGTTATAATAAGTTAACCAAAAGATCTATAAAAAACTTTTTTGTGAATTCAAATACATAAAATATTCACCTGGTCCTTCCGAGGACAACAGAGAATAAATAATTTCAGCCGAATAATAACAGAACACAATATAACAGCCACACAATATCACGGGAGGAAATCAAACTAGCAAAGAAGGCGAAAACAGCTGTTTGGGTTTGGGTGCAGCTGCAGACATTACGTCGCCTTCGCCTACTCCCCTGAAAATTCCCTCAACAGCCGCTTTTACGCTGTGAAACCCATCCAACCCCCCCCCCTTTTCCGTTCTTTTTTGAAGCTCTGTATTTCTTTTTATTCGTCGTTTTTTGCGGTTTCTTCGTTACCATCGCACTATTCTAGAGTGGGTCTATCAATTTCCGTCAAAAAAGGGTACCCTAGATTCATCGCGAACAGTGCCTTTAAGAGTCCTGAAGCCTATGATGGAACCAGAGGAAGTGCTGAACGTCTTTCCCTCTGTCCGACAGAGACAAGCGCCGTATTTTGAGGTACAGAAAGTCCAAGTTTATCTTCAAGGGGAAAATGCGTAAGGTGTCCTTCATGACAAAAAGACTGCGAGAAGATCGGGTCGCTTTCGCCAGAGGGTGCAGCTGAACCGAGTGGAATAAGGTGTTCTCCATGTGCTGACAAATGACTTTCCTTCTCTTGATGGTTTTTGTTCTTCAGATCGTTTTTCCGATGAAAAGAAGTTCAGTTGTGATGGTCTAGGCGGGAACCGATTTCACTGGCACGACCTGAGGAGGAAAAACTTTAGTTTTCTAAACGGAACTTCAAAGAAGGAGTCATGGTTTGGGCCGCGATTTCATCGAGTAGGCTTAGCTGTTCATGTTTTATACCAGAGAAGATAAACTCGTCCTATTGTCGAACTATAATAGTATGCGCCGTGCACATCTCGGACGTCAGAATAGGCATTTCGGGCCTTTCCGGCATCAGAATCGGCACCGAAATCTTGTTGCAAGATAACTCCCCAATTCACGTCAGCATTAGCACCCAAGCTTGGTTCTCTCAGCATCGGGTTGCACTTCTGCCCTGGCCGACGAACAACCCGATTTGAATCCGATGGAAGATGCATGGGGCTTCATAGTTCGGAAGATTTACGCCCAAAACGAGGAATTCCGAGGCGTCATGGAGTTTAAAAAAGCGATCATCGAAGGATGGCACGAGTTGATCAGGGGCTGATTGATAGTCTTTATTTGAGCCTAGACCTCCGTCTTTCCGAAGTAATTCGAAAAAATGGTGGACCAGCTGGCTGTTGACCTTGCAACTTTCTCTCCGTGCAGTATGTTTGTTGTTAAATAAACCAATTTCGTTGGTGACTGTATCATTCGGAGTCGTTGGGAAATCACCCTTGACTGAAAAACTGACCAAAAAAATGTTGGTGCTTCCAAGCGGAATTTGATGATAATGTGCGAATTGAGTTCAGATTTGACACATTTTTTACTCTGGCACTTTTTCAGAAACACCGTATACTGCGAGTTTTTGGGGAAATTAGGGGTGGCTGTATAATTTGGGGCGCACTGTACATCTTATCTGTTCTGTTTCAATTTTTCTTCGATGATCATGTTATTGCCCTTTATTTCACATTGCAGCATGCCCGTTAATAAATAATAAATATGGATACCAGGGTGTACCAGGCAATACTCGTCAAGGTGTGAGGGATCCACCTAGTCAGCACGTAGCCGAGGGCATGAACGCGTTTAATGACCGTGAATTTGGCACACCAAGCCTTGTCGCAAGGCCGCGAGTAGTGACCCCTGGATCATTTCTGACAGCGGTCGAGAACAGCGGAGTCCTCCACTGGGTGGGAGCGTCTCGACCGAAGTTTGTCTTCGAGGCTCGTGTCCGCTTTTGCAGAAGAAGGGAACCAACGGTGGACGGTCACGATGGTAAGTGCCTCCCCCGAAGCGCGGTTGACGTTATGAATTGCTGCAGTCGCTCCAGTGCCGCGGCGCCACTCATGGAAGATGATGGCCCGAAGACAGTACTTTGAAATTGTCACCGTGTTTGAACTCATGGAAGCGCTCGCGCCCTTATACACCTTTAGCGAAGAAGCTTTGAGAATGTTTTACAACTATCACATGATAGATCATAGACATAGGTCAGAAATCGAATATCCCGTACCTCTCAAAAAAACTATCATGGCTTTTCGATCAACGTAATGTAGGACGTTTGAGCCTGTCTGTCCGTCTATTTGTTTGATTGTTTCTTGTTTGTAGGGAAATTCGACATTACCTGCTGAAGTACCGACAAAAGTCAGGTCAAGTTTAAGAAGGGTCGGGTATAGGGCAAGTTTAAACGAGCGCATGTGAGCTCAGCGGAGCTTCATCTATAGGAAGCAGGACAAGAGTCAGAATGAGCGGTGCCATGGGTTAGGGCCTAGGGCAATAGGATAAAGGTGAGGAAAAGGCCAGCAAATGGAATGAAGGAGGGAATGCAACAAAATCTACATGCCCGTCCGTGGCAGTTTGCCAACTTTTGCAGAGATTCGTTGTGGGACCTCCGTTGGCACGGTGCCACGGCCGTGGCCCCGCCTCAACCCCAATCCGCATTTTTGGCTTGCGAATGAAAGCTTGATTAGAATAGGTTAATGAAAGAAGTTGGGAACGTTGATTTCATTTGAAACTAAAAACAAAAGTCGGATGCGATCGCTCAGCTTTGCCATGTTGTCCAATCTTCGCAACCAAGGTTAATTGCATCAAATTTGTCAATGAAACTGAACTTGTTGACGGAAGGGCTATCTTGTAAATAACCCGAGTGATTTAACTGATTCTAATGGAACAACGGTTGA